TGATCCATAATAAGGAGACTATCAACCAATCAAAACTGATCCAAAATTTACATGGATAATAAAAATGAAGCAAGGACATTTAAGAAGCTATTATATTGCCTTTCCACACATCTAAGAAGCCAGAGGAAAGATCAAACGTGTTTGGTAAATATATGGACTTTTAAAAAATTAAACTCCAAAAACTACAATGTCTGTGATGACAAATATATTTGATGATATTAATGGCAAATTAGAAATTACAGATTAGTGAACTTGATGACCTAGTGTTACAGGGCTGGGACCCTCTAGGAAGCTGAGGCAACACAAAGACCTCACTACACTTCAAACCCTAATTCTTGTGGTCAAGTCAGAAAGATTTCAGACATGTTGCTCAGCATAACAGGCATGAGTTTTTTAGAAGTTACAGGAAAGGGAAAAAGGGGACACTCTCAAAAAAGAGAGTGGGTCCTCTCAAAGAGAAAAGGGACAACATACCTCTCCTACACTCACTCCAGTTTTATTGAGGATCCCAGAGAAGTTTCCACAGAGTCAGCCCAGGTCCACCTCCTGACTTTTGACTGACAGCAGAATGACATCGGACTTTCAAGTCCCCACTGCCATGACAACTCTAGGTCACTTGGGCCCATAATGGCTAGTTCTAATTGAAACCTATTCTTACAGATTTTATGGTTAGGTGGCATTATTCTTACCTTCCTGAGGGATCTGGTCTGAATAATGGTCATAAAGGTCCCCTTAATGGTAACTTGGGTTCCTCTCATAAACATTATTTAGGGCTAGTATTTCTCTCGCAGATAACAGGTAGTTTTCTGAGGAATGTGACATATCCATTGCTTCTTGGAAAAGAAAGTATGTGGGAGGTCAGCACAGTGGGCCAATTTTATAAAATCATTCCCCTGACCTCATGTTAACCACTTCTCACATCTGTCTGTCTTCTATCACTAGCAATAGAAACTATGCAAAATTAAGAGAAAGTTAAAGGATTGGAAAAAATTAATTAAAGTATTGGTGACACCTATTAGATACCTTCAAGTGGTCAAATAAACATGAAGTTTATAGTCTGAGAAAGAGAGAG